AACCATGTAAATCTCAGTGTCTCTTGATTGTGGTTATTTTATATCTTGTTGATTGTGGGTTGGCTTTCGAGTTGTGAAGATCGTAGTTCGCGGGGAGACTAAAATTCCCCAATATGGCGTAGTCTCTCGAGTGCACAAAAGAGGTGGAGCCATTGATATGTACTTAATAGTGAGAGTCATGAGGCACTTTCTCATGCGGATGTGGATGAAATTCGGATGCGGATGCTTTGGTTTGAAGTGTAAAGCAATAGAAGACACTAGTGAGAACGATTCAATATGGCAATGGTAAATCTTTGAGGTGACTTGGAAATGAAAGTTAAGATGGAGATTATTTGGATTGTGTGTTTGATTTTTTTAATGACTTCATAGAGTTGGATATGATTAGAGGTTTGTTTTAATTAGGACATTGTGTTTCTTCATGATAAAGAGTTTGTATCATATTCAAACTAGTAAGTTAAGCTAGAGATATGGTTATTCGGTTTCTCTATATATAGTATTCTATTGCTGTAACTAATATACTAAGAAGGAGAATAGTATTTTGGAGAGGATATGAGATGATGACTATGTGTATTATAAGAGGTTGAGAGAGATGACTGATTCCTCTTATTTTTTATGTTTTCTATATAATGAATCCGCCTGAAAACTTTCACACCCTTTTATTCTAACCCCTGACCTCGCTTAAAATTACCCTTATGGTGAAATTTTAACCATGATCAAGTTTTAGCATGATACCAAATATAGATTAAGATAAGGAAAACTTTATTAGGATAACTTTAACTCACTTTATAATTGTACCAGACAAGTCATTTTAATTTTTTAAATGCGTATATGGGCAGCCCATTTAATAAATAGGTGAATGAGTAGGGGTACGTGCTGTCCAGATACAGTTCAGATATGACACTTATCATAACCATAACCACTTTTTAAAAACGAATACGTATATGGTTCAGATATTCATTAGTAAGAAAAAGCATTACCATATCCGCATTAAATTAAAATGGATACGGTTTAGATATTAGAGAGTCGGATATGGATATGATATGAATACTATTCGGATATTTGGAAAATAGATATAAATAAGATATGAAAAAAAATACATATGATTTTAATAACTCGCAAAATAAGACAAGCTACCTCATAGACTTTGTTGCTATTTTGTATGACAAACCTCAGAACACCATAGCAGGACCTAAACAAAAAATAAAAAATATTGAATATCATAACTAAAATGTGATAATCAACAACTACAACTGACCTCACAAACTACAATTTACCTTAAACGAACCATTTGACGTCCATATGAAGTCATTCTCTCTTTTATTCATAGAGCTTGTATCATTCTCATGGTAATAAAGTCACATGTTACTGACAAAAAAGCATGCAATAAAGTCATAATCCGAAAATAATAGTCACTAATCCAGAAATAACAAGTCAAAAATCCAGAAATAACAAGTCACAAATCTAGAAATAAAGTCACGTACAGACTTAACATGAGAAAAGTCACATTCAATAAATCAAAAACCCACAAGTTCTATAATATAGTTCCCTAAGAAAAAACAAACATGCAAACTAAGACAATCATATTCTTGAGAAGAAAATATAAACCAAAAGATGAGATCGATCAATGCAAGAGAAACATTAAATCTCATCATCCTAGACAAGGACCTCCATGATGTCACCTTGAAAAAATAAAAAGAGCAATTGTCATGTTAAATATGTGAAAATTTTTATATTTCAAATCATATGCTTTTGAAGTTAAATAGCATACCTATGGGTGCTTTTATAAAAGTTTCGACAATCTCTGAGTCGTCGTGATCCGAAAGCTTAACCATATCAAGAGCATCGTCATTCATAGTTTACACTTTTATAACTACAAAAAATTTATTAGAATAAAACATACAATCATTTAATGTATAATTTACCAAATATAACAGAATCTATGCAAAGTTTATAAATTTACCTCCTTTCTCCGTTTTAATCCAATCTTGTATACATATCAACGCCTCTACCGTATATGTTGTTATTCAACTTCTATAACAATGAATCACATGCCCCCTGGTGCTAAAAGCCGACTCGAAAGCCACGGTTGATGTCAGTATACACAAAACATCTCTTGCAACTTTTACTAATATAGGATACCTTCTAAAACTTGATTTCCACCAATCCAATATATCAAATTTCCCCATTGTTTCATCTTCGCATCGGACAGTACTATCTTCCATATATAAATCCAAATCCGTCTTTGTAGGCTCTTTCTCAATAGTTTCAACAAATTTTGCAAATCTAAATTTTCTTTTGTCACAAACTCTTTCCACTTCCTTTGCTTGAGCTTGAAGCATTTTCATCATTTTTGGATTGCTTTTTTTTCAAGAGATGCATACTCTCCATGCATCTTTTTGATAACATCTAAAATTTCAAGTGTATATCTTTCACCATCCACACCATAAATCTCCTTAAAGTAATATTTTATTACAATTATTTCGTACCTCGGTTCAAGAAAAGAAGCCATCGCAAAAATCTTATTGTACATGCTCTAATATTTATCAAATTTTCTTTCAATGCAAAAGTCATATCCATAATTGTATCATCATTACTTTTCAACCATTCCATTAGAAGCAATTAAATTTCACAAAATTCTTCAAATAAAAGATTGCAAGTATGATACATACTACCGGAAAGGAGATTAGTTGCATCATAAAAGTGTTTCAAACATTTACTCAAAGTTTCAATGTAATTTTATTCTTCCTCCGATGGACAATGAATGTATTTGTCGTCGCTAAGTTCAAATCTATTAAAAGCAACTTTGTAAAGCAATCATCAATATTAAATAAGTAGAATTCCATCTTGTACAACAATCAAGGGCTAAGCATTTTTCTCAAACCACATTAACTTGCTTAGCAGCATGATTAAAATTCTCTTCCATCTTTGGTGAACATGAAACATAATTAACACTAAACCTTACTTTTTCAATAGCTTTAGTGATAATTTTAAGCTCCTCTTGAACAATGAGATTTATAATATGTACTCTACATCTCACATGAAAAAAGACTCTGCCACATGGTAGATACTTTTTAAGACGTTCTTTTCCAATTTTAACTGCAACATCATTAGCTTTATCATTACCGATCGTAATTGATAAAACTTTATTATCAATTTTCCAATCAAGTAAACGACTAATTAAAACAATGCATATATCCTTCCCCATTGAGCTATGGACTTTAATAAAACCAATTATATGTTTTTGAAGTTTCCAAGATTCATCAACATAGTGAGCGGTAATGCACAAATATGCCAAATTTTATGAAGTTGATGTTCATTTATCCATTGTCAACCTCAACCTTATGGAAGATGTGGCAAACAAATCAAATAAATATTTTTTTATATTCACCATAAACTTTCATACATAACTTTGTGATTTGTGCACGACTTGGAACCTTGTGATTTGGATGAAGAGAATGCCCATATTGTAAAAAGAAGTCATGTGTGACCAAGTTAAATGGATACTCATGGACGATGATAGCTTTTGCAAGTAAAGTTTGACTCTTCTTATTGTCAAAATGATAATTACTAAGTGCACAAGTCCCTTCTTCATTTTTTATAGTAGCTTGAACCACTTGTTGATGAATATCAGGTCTCTTCTTTTTGGAGCATTTCATAATGTGATTTCTAATGTGTGTAGTACCCCTTGAACTACGTCCATAACATTCAAACAAGCAATGTTTACATTTCACTATCTTAATTTTTATTTCAACTTCTTTCTCGTTGATAATTTTCTTTTCAACTTTATCAATTTTCTTAAATTCCAACCATACATTAGAAGTTAATTTCCTCCCCTTTTCTCAGGTTTTTTCTCTATTTTATTAGAAGAATCTTCTATTGCGGGTTCAATGACCGGTTCAACGGGGGTTTGACTATGGGTTCTTCATTAGAAGTTTGAACTGATGGATTAGACGACATATTCTAATACCTATTCATTGAAATTTATAAACTTAATCTAACAAAAAAATGTAATGATGCAAATTACAATCATCTATGCAACTAAAAACAATTAGGGCTAATAGGTTTGAGATTTTTATCAAATAAATTAGGATTATTCAATTCAGTCAATAAATGCTAGAAATTAGGGCTTTTATCAAACAAAAAAAATTAGGGCTTAGGGTTTTGAATTTACCTTAGTGATATACAAAATTGAGGAGGAGAAGAGGAGGTCGGACGTTGTCGATGGTCGTCGTTGCATTGATCAAAGGGATGAGGCAGCCGCGGACTTCTTGAAGAGTTGAGCTGCGAAGAGGCGGAGGCGGAGGTGGAGCTCGGAGGTGGAGACCAAGCTTAGAGGCGGAGGCGGCTTGGAGAAACAGGATAAGAGTTTGGGTCTCTGACTCTCTGCCGAGTGCCGACTTTTTTCATTGAGTTGAATTTGGGTCGGGTTGCGGATAACATGAGTATATGTTATAGACCCGACCCAATACAAGTATTATACTTATCCCATTTCAAATATCTGGATATCTGGACCGTATCCGCATTTTCGACCCGATAACCTTATCCGAAATCGTATTCGGATAAAAAAAATCTAAACCGTAACCATATCTGACCAGTTTTAATTTTTTTTACCATATCTGCTTTCTAAACGGATACAGTTGCGGTCAGTCCGGATAAATCCGGACCATTTTGCATCCCTATGGATGAGGCATAACTTATTTAGCAAATGTTAAATGGATCATAAATTGGTGAATTGACATGAATGTGCCCACTCATTTACGACCCACTCATCCATACCACCCATTTAACATCCCTAGATATCCCTTAATTGTGCTCAACCATGCACCAATGTTCATTCAGGGTAATGTTCTATTTTTATTCAGGATATGTTATGCGAAAAGGCAGGATTGACTCAGTAATAATATAATCTCACATAAATTCTCCTCCAACAAAAAAGTCAAACAAGAACCAGAAATAGGCATCCAATCAAACTACTTTTCTTCCCCTCCAAAAATTTAAAAAGAGAAAGTCATGCGTGTAAAGAGTGAAAAACGGTCATATTTCTACCAACAATAAATAACAAAAGGAAGAAGAAGAGAGGATCCCTTGCGAAAATCTCGTCATCTGTATGTTTTCCTCTATTTGCTCCATCCTCAATAACATAGTTATAATGTAGTTAAAATGTTGTGTGATTTTGGACAAGAACTTTGTTTTGTATTTTGATAAGTTGTTTCTGACTGTAGGCAATTTGACGAGATTGCGCTTGGGTGGAGAATCTACGGTACTCTTTGCACATTAGTTGCGATCTTTAGAAAATCTATACAATTGTGGTATATATATATTTCGTCTATAAGGGATTTTTATCATCCTGATTTTTGATTTTATAGATATCTTTTCTGATCGTTATGCAAATTTTTCTATATGCATGCGTCTGTTAGAGGGAGACTCATTTGGTATCTTTTTTATTGACATGTTAATCTATCATAAATGTCAAAGTTTCCTGTTTCAAATGATTGTATCCTCGATCTATTCATTTGCCTCTTTCGGAATACTGCAGTTAATTTAAAGAAAGCACGTATTTTCCAGCTGCATGTTATCTCCGGAGCCTTTCACACGTAAGTTTTATTTTATTTTATTTTGCTTCTCAATCAAATTTAGTATGTTCATCTTTTCGTAGTTGTCCTGAGTACAATTGCCTGCTCGCGGTTATTGGTTATATAATGAAAGAGATCCACAAAAGCTAAGCTTAATTAAGCATTTATGATAAAGAATTAATTTCAAGCACAATTCTCTTGAGATGTATAATAATTTTATTTTGGATATTACGTACTTTACTTACGTGTTTCCAATGGCTTTCGAAACATTTCTCTCCTCAGCCAGGAACGACTAGTTGACTTCTTTCGGCAACCATGCCTCCTAAAGTAGACATAAAGAAGAGGATCAACAATCCCTTTGATTCTGATTCTGATACCGAATCAAAAGCTAAACCCGGAAGGGGAGCTACATCTTCATCTGCTGCAAAAAATGGATACAAGAATGGGCTTAAAGGCTCAGGAGGGCTCGAGAACCAGTCGGTGCAAGAGCTAGAGAATTATGCAGCTTATAAAGCTGAGGAGACTACCGATGCAGTGAACGGATGTGTGAGGATTGCTGAAGCGATTAGAGAAGACGCTTCGAACACTCTTGTCACCTTGCATGCGCAGGGGGAGCAGATTTATAGGACTCATGAGATGTGCACAAAGATCGATCAGGACCTTAGCAAGGTACTCATTGCAACATCACTCTTACAGGTTTTTAGCGATTTCGATGATTATCTGATCGCTGTGTACAATATTCTCATGTTTTAATTTGGTTTTCCTAGTACATTATAATAACTCATTTCTATCGCATTTTCTTCGTCGATCCCTACATATCGTTCCTTCTTTGATTATAGGAAGTCTATAGTGTCAACTAGCTAGGATGACCATAAATAGAACACTTCCAAGTTTCAAACCATAAATGTAGTTTTTTGAAATAGTGATGTTTTCTACGATAATCCTTTTGAGTAAAGACAAATGATAAATGATATGAACATGAGTAGAAAGTTGCACATTTCTTATTGTGGACATTTTTATTACAGGGTGAGTCACTTTTGGGAAGTCTCGGGGGTATGTTTTCTAAACCTTGGAAGGCGAAGAAAACTCGCCACATAAAGGGGCCTATGATGAGTAAAGGTACTGGAATGCATGTCTCTCAAAAAATTGTAATGTACCGGCCTGTTCAGCTGTCTATAGCAGTTCTTTTTATATCGATGCGCAGATGACTCATTTAAGAAGAAGAAGAAGAAGGACGAACAGAGGGAGAAGCTGGGACTGAGTCCTCCTAGAAGCAAAAGTAGACAATATGATGAACCTGTGTCTGCAATGGATAAAGTGAAGGTATGTATAAGTTTTACAGTAGGACTTGGTGAAATGAGAGTTCTGTTCAAATACCTGATGATAGATCGATGGATGTGGTGGTTTATTTGCTTGGTAGGTTGAGAAGCAAAAACAGGATGACTCCCTTAATGATTTGAGTGGCATTTTGGGGCAGCTCAAGGGCATGGCTTGTGAAATGGGCTCCGAGCTTGATAAGTCAGTTTCCAAACATTTTACAAATTGCTAACGGATTTGAAAGCTTATACTATTCTTGAATTCGTTTCAAATATCTTTCTTTTATTCCTTTGGTTAATAAGCAAACTATTTTTGGTTGTATGCAGGCAGAACAAGGCTCTGGATGGTTTGAACGACGATGTCGAAGAGCTAAACTCGAGAGTAAAAGGAGCAAACAGACGTACACGAAATCTTCTCGGAAAATAGGCTGAGAACTTGGCCTCCTAAAGCACTGAAGCCATGCAACTCGTGTTTTTTCTGTTGTTTCAGCAAATGTATAAGCATCCTGTCACATGCAACCATTTTTCAAATGTGAAGTTTGATTCTGTCAGTGGTAAAATATATATTTCCTTCGTAGAATGTATAAGAGCTACACTTGTTGAATCATTTTCATCAAGACCTCCGAGCGTACAGGATTATAACAAATATAGAAGAAAGCATAATCCATAATCATAGAAAACACGTATAATCCATATCCAGGGTTGAACCTGATCCAACCTGCATTCAGTAATATCAGGTTAGGACAAATTCAAGTTGGATTTGAGTGGATGAGATGTAATATTTTTCTAAAATATTACATCTTATATTTCTAGTAATTCTTGTAAAATGTTTTTCTAGTAATTCTTGTAAAGTTAAGCTGATTATATCGGCCATATTTCAGCAAAGAAATTGCTTCTCTCTTATTGACTAGTGGGTAAATTTGGTGTTTCTAGTATCGTTTATGAATAACAAATATCTTTTCGAGTGACATGAATAATAGATATCAAGTTTCCCCATTTGAAACTGATGGACTAACTATGTTCTTGGATTCATTTCATTTTATATTTCTCAGAGGATCATGTTCGTAGCTAGTTATGTTTCCATTTCTGCCTTTATGATGGTTACAACTATTAATGGCGTCTGCATAACAGTCTCAAGAAAATTGCAGGCATCTTTGACTAATCTTGTAACCTGCAATCCTGATCAATTTAACAGATACACCGGTCATGGTACAATTTTATCAAAAGTAGCCAAAATTTTGGATGACTCAAATGCATTGTTCTTTTGGTGGATGATGCAAATCAATCTTCACAATTCATATTTTTATCTTTAAATTGTTGCCTAAAATTGCTCGCAATGACTATTCTAGAATTAAATATATATATATAGAGAGAGAGAGAGAGAGTAAGACTCCTATCAACTTAAGTTGATGTCCACCAAACTTCCTAGCCACTCATTTATTAATATAAAAAACTTTTTTATATCATGCAAGGATCCCTAGGCAATATGAGTGGCTAAAAAGTTTGGTGGACAACTTTTTGCTATCCACTTTTATATATATATATATATATATAAGTGTTTCTAAGGTGACGCCTTATATAATCATCTAAGAACGCGGCCTAAAATCACATAATTGAGCTATATTGTGGATGATCAGCTCCGTTAAACTTGATCTACATATTCTAAAACCCTAACACATCAAGTTTGGGGTGAACCCGTTATCATTTGACCATTCATCCACACGTATCAATTTTAACGTTTTTGAATGAATAGAACTTTTCACATGGCTCGACGGATAGTCAAACGACATAAACTACATATACTGGTATGGAGCATGTGTGTTGCACGTGTATTAATTTTATGTTTAATCGACCTATCATATCTAGAGTATTTGTTATAAGATCACACTATATAAAGTTTGGTATTTAAATTTTATATGTCTACGAATTGTAGTTTAGGTACAAATGTTTTTACAAATTTATATTTGGAAAATAACGAATGTGACCATTTAGAATAATAATTAAATTAGCTATTAATACTAGTCTCCATACTATAAAGTACCACCAATTACCAGTATCAAATGTTATATGCTTTTTAGTGCATATAGTTACATTAGTAGTAAATTATAGAACCTAAAAGACATGACATTTACATCATTGTTGTCTAAGCCCTGTTTTCATGGGGGGAAGGCAATAATAATCACGCCAACCCGAGTCGCTGCTTTAAGCGCATTTTGGACAAACACACTTATATATCTCCTATGCGACTCCACTGATTTTGGTTACTCCACAACATGAACAACTTGTTCACCATGTAGTAAGAAATAAGCATGTTATATGATCAGTAAGAATACACATGCTACATACTTGGTAAAATACCTAGCAGAGTCCATTAAAAATTTAAGCATAGCATGCTTGGGAAAATTTTCTAGAGTGATTGAAGAAAAGAAAATTAAAATTTAAAAGGAGATTGAAGGATGTGAACAAAGTAGGTGAAATTAAGGAAAAAGAAAAAACCCTAATGAAATGGACGTTTATTCCTTCGAGAAGTTGAAGGGCTCGAATCCAGGATCTTTAACTTTTGAGATATCTAAAATGAGATATCTTTGACTTAAAGTGCTAAAATGAGATGAAAAGAAAAAAAATTTAAAAGACTAAACTTTTTTTAATCACAAGAACTAAAATTGACTCCCCTAATTTAAAATTTTTGAACCTTAATCAATTATTCATCAACATCTTAGAACATATATACAAAACTAACCCTTTTTCTAGACGACTTGAGTTCATCTGCTCAATATTGTTGTAAGGAACAAAGAACAATAAATATGGATTAGTTAGGTGGTGAATAGGATTTTAACAAATAGTGAGATTGGATATAAATAGAGATCGAGACTCTCTTATTTCCTTGTATTTTGTAACCGACTTGATCATGATATGTGATTATTGTTCCCAAGCAACTCTGTAACTGAAAATTTATGAATTAAGAGCCAATTCATGGTTTGGATCAATGGGTAATTAATGTTCAGTTATGGGCAAGGAGTTAGTGAGATGATGGAAATTGTATGAAAAATTCAGAATAGATAATGAAGAGCTAATGTGCATTGATTAATTAGTGAGTAATAATAGGATTAATGGATTGGACTGAATTAGAAATTCATAAGCATTTAATTGAGAGGTTATAAATACAGAGCTATAACATTCTTTCTCTTCCTCGTTTCTGTTAATTTAACAGGATAGCCAAGATTGCACGCCTTCTTTTCTTAGTATTATATTAAAATGTTATGTCATTAGTACTATAATTAATATATTATGCTATTCTAAATTTTGAAATTATATTTTGCTACTATGATATATTATAAAAATTAAAATAGTACAATATCACACTATTACTAATATTATAATAAAATGGTGATAATAATTTTTCATGTCACCATAGTTTATATTGTAATTTTTCTACCTTAGAAAAATCATAAGTAATATGATTAGATTAGATTTATAGTGGTTTAGTAAGAAGATGAATGATTGTAACGTTTTTTTTTAAAAATTATGATAGTGATAATTAGTGAGAATTATAAGAGACTAATATGTTAATGGGAGGTTATAACAATGTAAACAAGTTAGTCATGGAAAAATTATTTAGGGTTATAATGAATAATAATGCATTTAATTGAGGGTTATGTATGTATGAGGTACGGTTTATGCATTGATGCATGTGTTTTATGTAAGCATGTATGTGTTTTAAATGACATTTTTGAAAGAAATGTTTTAACATGTCAACACACTTTTATAATATATATATATATATATATATATATATATATATAACTCTGTTTTAACAAAAATTACAATCTGATCTTGGCTCTAAAACCTCTCATAGCTCAACCCATTATGCTAACCCAATTTTAAAGTCGAATTAGTGGTGCGGAGGCTAGATCTCCTCCTCAAATTGGGCATCAAACAGGCAGACGACCTTGCAGAAATTATCAGACAGTAAAATATAGCTCTCATACTGTTCCCCACGACATCTTTACCATATAAGAACAACAACGAGATACGATGAACCGCACACGCACACAGTCCACAACCATCGTCCACGACGCACAATTAGGGGCGCACAAGCCGGATCAAAAGGAGATGGTTCAAATGTAAATAATTAAAATGTTATCTGTCTGGGAACTTAAAACTCAACCAAGACGACAAGTACAAGGTGCAATGATTAGGAAGGTGGCGTCCACATTAACGTCAAAAATTAAATCATAAAACTGAAAAGTCAAATTTCTTGAATAAACAATGAAGGGGAATTAGCTTTGAGAAAACTTGAGAAGGAAATAGCTTAACAATAATCACAAAAGAACCCACCCCTCAAACAACTAAGGAACAAAACGCAATGACTAATTTCACCTGTACATGTTATCTGAAAGATGTTGATACATGAGCCCCCTATTCAGTTCATCACCGGCAGATATTGTCAGCAACCTTAGAAAATCGTAGTATAAACATATACAATTCCAACCATCTAAAAAATTCGATGGAACAAGAACACAACATTGCCACATCTATAACGCTTTCAAAAGAAACACCGACATCAGGACATTAGAAGTTAAAAGGGTGACTTGATCAGTGACCTCTCTATCCATTTACAACAAGATGTAGGAATTTCCTCTTGCTCCCCGGATCTTCACACAACAAGACCACATCCTTCACCTTCTCCATCAGTTCCTCTAACCCCTCTACTCCAAAGCTCTGAAAATCTATAGCCCTCTTATATCGCTGCTCATAGAGAGACTCAAATACGCTCAGCGGAACGGGGAGATAACCATAACATACAAGAAGTTCTTGCACTTCTTGCCTGAAACCATCAAACCGATCGTCAAACTCTCCGTTCCTCTCATCCTCTGAGAAGTCAGATGAGGAACTGCCCATATTAGGACAGATTCTTATATCAACACTGTCCTCCACCATTCCCTTTCCTTTCTGATCCTTCATCATGTTTTCAGGGCTAGAGAACTTTTTGATCTGCTTGTCTCTGTTATTCCGAAGGCAAAGCAACTTGTTATGTCCCTTCCCCACTACAACAAAGGTATCTGCCATCTTCCCAATGAGGTTCACAAGCTTACAAACTCCATATTCTGACATATAGAGCGGACGCCCAAAGCTCTTGAGATACTCCGGCGGAACTCGGACAAGAGGCAAAGTTCCTCCTGAAATCTCGCAGAGCCTCACTAGTTGCGCCTTCAAACCTTGAATATCACCTGGCTGAACCCACCAGCCCTGCATCCCATTTTGATCATTCATTGAAGCTTCACTCAATTCAGAAGGTAGGCTCTCAGACCTTGAAGAAGGCATATGCGATCCAGGTGTCATGTTATTAGCACTGCACTCTTGAACTGTGCTGCAGAAGTAGATCTGGCTTCTCTGTGAAATTCCCCTATAAACAATTGATTCTTCTTCATTGGGAACATCTGGCTTGTCCCCAAAGTTACCGCTAATGAGATGGCCACCAAAATCGGGCCCACGAGGAATGTAGGTCTTTGGGGGGACAAAACCTTCACCACGAGCAACACTAGGCCAATCCCAAACAAATCTCCCAGCATTGGTCAGAGCTGTTGCGACACCAACTCTACAAGGAATGACAAGTATAACAGTGTACCCACGTTGGCCGAGGATATGAAGAGCTGGGGCAAAGTCTACATCGCCTGATATCAGCAATATTGAGGAGGGTGGCCGGTTGTCTAGTGCAAACAAGAACATATCAACCAAGATAGCCTTGTCAGCAGCATCCTTTCTTCCATTTGGGACATCGACAAGTTTCACACCAGTCCTTTGACAGCCTTCACGAAGCCTACGGGGAAAGGCATTGAAATCTCCGTAAGCGGAAAAGAGAGTCACTGCTCCATTAATAACTGGGTGCACTCTGAGAGCCATCCTTATGTTGCCAGCAACATCTTCAGGGCGAACATCAATTGGAACTGGACAATTTTCAATGTCCCAGAGGATAGCCACAGGTCCATCTAAGACATCGGCTTGCTGCTGATTAGGGGTATGAGGTGCTTCCATGTTGGACTTTACGCACATTGATCGGGATGTGCAAGGTGATTCTGAAATTGGGGTTTTTGGTGAAGGACTCATTGGGATCATTTTGTCCTCACAAGACATTGGAGCTTCTGATAGCTGCAGAGAATTAGATGTCAGTGAAATGTGCAATAAAATATAGTATGAGAATATGTGATTATTATGAAAATCAAGTTACATATCGCACGTTGATGATTTGGAAACAAAATGTGGCCTGATAATTTAGATTTTGCAATACAATTAACGTACTCAGTCAAAATATTAGGGGCGAAGCTCCTGACATGAAACTGCTCTAGAACTCACAAATTTGATGCCATCACCAACTAGTCAGAAAAATAAAATTATATTCTAGCGAGTAACTTAGTATACTATTAATGCAGCTACAAATGATGGAAAATATATAATTATATCAATACTGTCAAATAGTGCACAAGGCATAGGAAAAAAGAAAACTAGCTTGTAGCGGGTAACTTAAGTGCACTATAAAGAAAGCTAAAATGCTCAATAAGATATCACTATGGCAATGCTGTCATGTGTTGCACCAAGGACCTTAAGGGATGCAACTAAAATATATGCTAATAATTGCAATCATAAGCAGGCTGCAGACAAATATGCTGCATTCATAACAGAATCAGGGACATGGCTGAAGCCAGTATTTGGTAATGGAGAGAGTAAAAGATCTCATCTGTGATTTGCAACTAAAATTCCAACTTCTAAAATCAAGATATGGAATGATACTGATAGGAAAACAAAAGCAATTACAGAGAACAAGCAACTTTATTCGCGTGTAGCTAGGATAAATAGAAGTAATATGAGAGAATGAATGATGACCGTAGCATATGTTAAGAAACAAGACAGGATATGTTATGTGGCCTCCCAGCAAAGCTAATCTATTTAAGAACTCTGATAAGTAGGCCTTTCTCTTATCTGAAAGAAATTAGGGTTAATTGCAAACAGACCCCCTGTAGTTCAACTTCTGCGAATAGACACCCTAAATGAACTTTTTTGACTCTTAAAATCATTAGAAAGGTTTGAGGAGGCGGGAGACCACCTATAGTTCTATTGTTGAGGATTGACCCTCACATTATAACCATTGTGTACTCATAATTCCTTAGCTAGTGGATGGAAGATGTTTAAGGACCACTTACCATCAAGCATGACTTCTTTTAGTTGCCCGTGTTAAGTGAAGTTCCATTACCAGCTGAAATCCTGAAATATTCATGTATGAAATTGCTATTTAATTCCAACTGCTGAAGTTCAGAGGCCCAGTTCACCTCCAACCTCACCGCTGAACTCTGCCTCCACACCCCAACACCATGTGCATGCATGTCAATCTCCCTCCGCAGAATTGTGGTTATATTTTGCGCTTGCAAAATATATCTGAAGAAAATGGGTGTGATAGATTGGCTTTAAGGCAGCATGACAGGTTTGACAAGTGTGCAATCTTTATTCCATCTCTGAGCATATTACACCATATAGCACAACAGAATATATGCCATAATATCATCTTTTATTGTCTAGCTCCTCTCTCCACAACTCATTACACCATACACCACAGAATACACCCCATAGCATCATCTTAAACTCCCAAGCCCCTCTCTCTTACACTGCAGCTCCTCCCGATTAAAATTGTATCCCATCTTGCAGCATTATATCACAAGGCATGGAAAACTTACCATTGCCACACCTTAAAATTAATTATTTAAACCAGTCTCCATCTGTCACCGAATCTAGTTAAGCACCCACCATAAAGTCCGTAAATTCAACTCTCCTTAGCCCACCCAATCCAACCCTAAATCAAACAGCAAAACACCCCATCCTTTTCATGCAGGTTGATGGACTAAATCCATGTAGGAAATCAAGCAGCTCTTTTAGAATTTATGCCAACAATCCTGAAATAATTGACAAGCAATAATTAACCCTTCATCCCAAACTTCTTTGAGATTGGCTAAATAAATTCTCTTCTGCTTAACAATGAAGAAGCCTATTCTGAGATTTTTAAGACCAGGCTCATGATTTTTTTCATCCTTGTCTCTATCAAGGTTACCTCAAGTTCCATATAGCCTATGCTGATCTTTTTAAGACCAGGCTCATGATTTCTTTCATCCTTGTCTCTATCAAGGGTTACCTCAAGCTCCATATAGCTATTACCTTATACAGTAATCCACATTTCCTTTGATCTGATCGTAGTCATAGTCACCAATTCAACAACAATCCTCCCATTTCTCTTATCCAGCAAAATTTAAAGATATTATCTCATCCCCATAAAAAAAAACTCTAGCTTATTATAAATGCAAGCATAACTTACATCATATTTAGTTATTTGTGTGTATTCTTAATTCAACTATGCTAACTTCGTTATTGTTGTTCTTTAATGTTTATCTTTTGGCTTAATTGCATTTATATACCCTGTAGTTTCAACTACGTTGCACTTATATACCCTCACTTGTTTTGGCAGCACTTATATACCCTAAAGTTTTTACAACTTTCACTTTTGTACCCTCGCTTGTGTATGTCAACATTTGCACACCCTAAAGTTTTTAGAACTTGCAATTAAATACCCTAAAGTTTTTAAAACTTGCACATAAACACCCACAAGTTTGCATTAACTGGGGGCATTTAAGTGCAAGTTTGACAAACTTTGGGGCATTTAAACATAAGTTTTTAAAACTTTAGAATACATAAGTGATGCCAAAACAAGGAAGCATATATAAGTAGAAGTTTTAAAAAAATTACAAGTTCTGCCAAAAAATAGTGAGGGTATATAAGCACAAAGCAGGGGAAAATATAGGTTATTTAAGTGCTCTTTTCACAATTTGCCCCAAACTAGGATAATGGAGGAGGTTTGTGTAAGGTAGCTGCCAGCCAGCGTAAAACTCAATTAGCTCTATATGATGTAATTTAACAAAGGATGTAGCCCTTAAAATTACATGAACAAATAATATTCATGTACCTAACCCTAAAGTTTTATAATAAAGGCTTAGTTGTTGTTTCTTAATTGCCAATATCCTAACTCATGTAACATGACTCATATAGGACAAGTATCTTATAATTGTTATCTATATCCTTTACACCATGACGATATCCTAAATCACTTAGTCTACCATGTATGATTACTCAAACTCCATCTTCCTCCGCTTCCACTATTTTGCTTCTACTCATGGAGAAATCATTCACATCCTTACCACCAAGATAAATGATGGAACCTAAGAAAAATAATGTAAACTAAAAATCTTAGGCTACCCAAAGCTTTCTTCATACAAGACAATAACATAACTAAGCTTACAGAATTCTGAAATAAGCTAATAAAAAACATTAATATTGATGCTGGGCAATTCAGATTGGAATCTGGAAAAAATTTTGATGAAGATTGGATGTGATTTATTTCAATTAGGATTAGATGAATTAGGCAGCAAATATTAGATATGTGATTTGTCAACATGTGAAGTGCCCCAGTGTGAAGCACATTATTTGCATCTTTCTTTATTAAATGACCAGTATTCTACGACACGCGATGCATGCATGACAAAGAAGTTTGAGGGCATTTCCGAATGATTTTTGTGATAGTGGGAGCATTTGTGTTAATTGCCTAGTGTTGGGCATTTTAGTTATTTTTTGCAAGTGTAAATGTGTTTCTTTTGCTTTTTTAAGGTGTGCAAGGGTATATTTGGTATTTCTAAAAACTTGTCACAAAGCAAAAAAGCAATTTTTTGTAAATATGTAGTGTAGATGAAGAGCGTGATTTCAAATCTTATTTTTGTCACTTTTTGATCCAATTAATGTCCTCAACAAATCTCCACCATCAATTCTACATCATTTACTACCAGAGCTGAAGAGATCCACCATTTTAGCTTCGATGTAATCAATACAACAGTTCAATGCCCATCAATGCTAGAAAATTTTAAGCTCCAGCACGAGATTCTTAAAGAGAGGGAGATTTGATACATGGCAAATTTTGATCAGAATCAGGAAATAATTTGATGAAGATTGGATCTGATTTAGATCAAATAGTATTGGATAAATTATTTATAGTTCTATTTGATGTTATCATTTTTCTTTGGTTAGAATCTTAATTGATATTTTATATTTATCTCCTCTATAGTTAGGATTTTTCTTATCTTCTTAGTTATTTCTATAAATAATGATGAACATTTTCATTTCTAAGAGAAGGAGAAAGGAATGCTCGTGAGGAACCCTACATATGAATTGCAGCTAAGCATTTGAGTTGCCAGGATAGGAAGTACCCGAGTCTGAAGCTCATCATTCCTTTTTTCCTCAAGTGAATAGTGAAATTTTAATATTTTTTTAATTTTTATCCAAATAACTCTGTCCAACAGATCTCCACCATCTGTTCCGCATCAAAGATTTATATGCATAGTATGTGCATCCTCAATTTACCTCTTTAAGCCCAAATATCTATCATCAATGTGCAAGGTGAGAATACATATTATCAATATTATCTAAAAATATTCACTTGATATAATACTCACGAACAACAATGCTCAAAATATTAATTCACCTGGGTACACTAAAACCAATTGATTGTATCAATCTGCATAATCGGGCGATCTAATCTTATGCACGCGCTAGATGTAATTAGCGTGGTTCATTTTTTTTAAACAAATCTACGCTCTCCTTGACCGCAACCACTTCTTGTAACCCTACCCTTAAACAGTTAGATCAAACAAAGGAAAAAATGCAAAGTTCCCCTTCAAAATTCTACACCTAATCACCTCACTCGGCCCTCTCCAGCACTGCTTCTTCCTACCGATCAACTCCGACCGTTGGCAATTTGCAACATCAATCACCGCCACCATTTCCTACTTCATGCCAACTCTCATTGCCATTTAAGTTACTTTTTCTCTCTTTTCTTAGAATAATAAATTTTGTTTTTTTAATCGATATTCTTCAACAAAGTTATTGTCTTTCTAATAGAATTCATGTGTGATGTTAGTTTTAGTCCTAATTTGGTGCTTATATTCATAGAAATAACTATTGCCCTATATATGTCAATGTCATTTGCATATGTCAATGTCATTTGCAAGTCAGTGGAGTTGGATGTTTAAGGCTTTAAGATAAAGATTAATTTTAAAAATTCTTCTTGTTTTATTATGAATAGCATGTGGGTTTATCTGTGAATGTGATAATGTTAATGAATTTTGATTTTGACCTAGGCACTTAGGAACCTTGTGGTTATTCTTCATATATATATATATATATATAGAGAGAGAGAGAGAGAGAGAAATGGGTATGTTTGGTACCAAGCACAAATTTTGTGCTTGATAGTGAGGTGTCCTATTCCCATCTACTCATTCTAATTCCCAATCATTGCTTTATTAAATATATTATTCAGGAAGTTATACGACCAAGAGATTGGGCAATGAGCCCTAATCAAGAATTACCTATAGTAAAATCCCAGACAACCAAAGAGTTATATCATTTTAATTACTGGGATTATTAGCAAGCATTTTATAAAGTATTCTTATATCAGAATCTAAAAAATAAACATACATGGCTAATAAAGCTATGTCCTGAAGCTATTTATAAGAGATTATCATCCTGATTCTTCGATTGGTGGGTTAATTATGGTGCTGATATGGTAATTTTAACAGATCCCATTACGAAGTTATACTCTTTCTGGATAGAATTCCATCCAGTCATAACAAAATTGAATAATAATGAAATTGTTGAAGGATTATGTACTATCTATTTCTTTACTGAAACAGAGATACCCTAGATATAGACGTGGTCTTTTGACACAGACAGGACAGACTCTCATCTTCCTTATCTTAAAAGGAGATTTCATTGTCGATGGTGGTCTAGAATAGTTGTTGAAGAAAAAATAAAACAAATCAAAGAAATAATTAGAGAAATAGTAAGATTCTCGAAAATACTATAACTCAAGAAGTTCAGAAAAAAATCCTATGTTGAAAATAGCAAAGATGATGAAGAGGAAATACCCTCAGGCATCTGAAACAAAAATACAACAAAAATGCTTAGAATATATGAAAAAAATAGTTTTTTAAAGCATTTCACACCAGTGATACTAAGTCAACCAAAAGCACAGGTTCAGAAGATATTATTCTTCCAGATGCTCAAGACACTGATGATGACACTGATGATGACATTGATACCATGTGGAATACAGCAATGGGGATCCTGAATGATATTCAGCCAGCTGCAAAGGCAAAGGACTTGCGTAAAAATACTATTCTCTTTACTTTTTTAAAAGGCATTTTCTTTATGAATGACGGAAAGCAAAAAGAATCAAATTTAGAGAGCGATGACGACATATCAACTTTAGGCTCACTTCATAAGTGATTACGTGGCGTACTGTACAACTTTATAAAAATAGAAATAATGTATGCAAGTGATGTATGAAAGTGATGTATAAAAACTTTATAAGATTCCTTCTAAAAGCTTCGAAAGGCTTCTGAAGGTTATATATATATGAGAGAAGGCAGTCGAGTGATGTAAGATTGAAAAATAGCTTGTAAGAGAGTAAGATTGTAAGTGTTTTCTCCTCTTGTAGATTATTTCCTCTTATAATAAAAATATTTTCTTATAAAGCGGCGTGGATCAAGAAATAATTCTGAAGTTTGTTAGTCTCACTCTGTAAGTAATATTTTTATAAAGTTTATACATCACTTTCATACATTATCTCTATTTTTATAAAGTTGTACAGTACTCCACGTAATCACTTACGAAGTGAGCCTAAAATTGATACATCCATATTCAGGGTATCTCTGTTTCAGCAAAGAAATAGATAGTACATAATCCTTCAACAATTTCATTATCATTTAATTTTGTTATGACTGGACGAGATTCTATCCAGGAAAAGTATAACTTCGTAATGGATTCTGGTAAAATTGTCATATCAGCACCATAATTAACCCACAAATCGAAGAACCACGATGGTAATCCCTTATAAATAGCTTCAGGACATAGCATTATTAGCCATGTATGTTTATTTTTTGGATTCTCATATAAGAATACTTTATAAAATGCTTGCTGATAATCCCAGTAATTAAAATGATATAACTCTTTGGTTGTCTAGGATTCTATCAAGGGTAATTCTTGATTAGGGCTCATTGCCCAATTTCTGGGTAGTATAACTTCTTGAATAATGCATTTACTAAAGCTGGGGGGATATTATGGTTGTCGTTACTCCATAAATGGATTATTTTCATGCCCTTTTGAATAACAAGGGTTTTCATCCAAACTCTAGACTTTAAAAATAAAGTCGGGTAATAAGTTGCATTTAGATATTTCTGTCGCAGGTTTTCACAATCATTCATAAGAGGAATATCCTCTTATTCTAAATATAGAACAATTTCATATTGCTTTTTAGTGTTCCATTCTACCTCTTTTTTAGTTATAGAGGAAAATAGTTCAGGAGTATCTTCCTTGCTGATAAGATCGTTTATTCCTTTATAAAAGGAAGTGGATGGACTGTTACTATTGCCCTTTTTAGTAATTGTACGTCAAGAATTAGACTGAGAAAAAGGAGTATGA